GCATGATCTCCCTGAAGTAAACCCATGTTGTCTCTGATCTTGAAACCCATGTGTTTTTAGATGTTCAACAATCCTATCCTTTAACATGGTTTCCATCACTTTCCCCACTACTGAAGTAAGGCTTACTGGCCTATAGTTGCCCGACTCCTCCCTATTACCTTTCTTGTGAATGGGCACAACATTCGCTAACTTCCAATCTTCTGCGACTACTCCTGTTAACAATGATTGGTTAAATAAATCTGTTAATGGTTTTGCTAGTACAACACTAAGCTCTTTAATAGCTTTGGGTGTATTCCATCAGGTCCCATTGACTTATTTGTCTTTGCTTTTGACAGTTGAAATAGAACCTCTTCCTCTGTAAACTCACGTGTAATAAATGATTCATTTATCCTTTTTCTTAATTGAGGTACCTTTCCTTCATTTTCATCTGTAAATACAGAACAAAAAATATTCATTGAGGCAGTCAGCTAGACCTTTATCCTCTTCTACATACCTTCCTTCTTTTGTTTCTAATCTAACTAATCATTGTTTTACTTTTCTTTTCTCATTTATGTATCTAAAAAAAGTTTTGTCCCCTTTTTTTTACTGACTGTGCTATTTTCTCTTCTGTGTGTGATTTGGAAGCTCTTATAACTTGCTTAGCCTCTTTCTGCCTACTCTTATAGATCATTTTGTCTTCCTCACTCTGGTTTTTTTTTTATAATTACTTAAAGGACCACTCTAGGCACCCAGACCACTTCAGCTTAATGAAGTGGTCTGGGTGCCTGGTCCTTCTAGGGTTAACCCATTTTTTAATAAACATAGCAGTTTCAGAGAAACTACTATGTTTATGAATGGGTTAAGCCTTCCCCCTAATCCTCTAGTGGCTGTCTTATTGACAGCCACTAGAGGCGCTTGCGTGCTTCAGTGAGAGCACGCCAGCGTCCATAGGAAAGCATTGTAAATGCTTTCCTATGCGACCGGCTGAATGCGCGCGCAGCCAGCCGGCAGGGAGGATCGGAGGTGCATCGGAGGAGGAGAGCTCCCCGCCCAGCGCTGGAAAAAGGTAAGTTTTAACCCCTTTCCAGAGCCGGGTGGGAGGGGGTCCCTGAGGGTGGGGGCACCCTCAGGGCACTATAGTGCCAGGAAAACGAGTATGTTTTCCTGGCACTATAGTGGTCCTTTAATGCTAACTTTTTGTTTTGAACTATTTTGGCCACATCTGCGGAGTACCACAGTAGTTTCTTGAATATTTTACTGACAGCTGTTTAGACATGTAACACAGTGGTGTTTAACCTACACTGCATGGATCTGAGAGTTATTGGGACAACTTGGGCGCTCAGATCAGGGCTATTTAACAATGTGTTATTTGTGGGGTTATTGTAATGTTATTATGGTTTTGGGTATTTTTATTTTTTATATTCTTTATTTTTGTTAGTGCATGAAATAACTGAACATTCTGGTTTGCCACGCCACAATAGCTGTAGGAAACCGTGGTACATCTTTGTACAACTTGGCATGAATAATACAGTGCACCATTTTTAAGTAATAGCATGAACAGAAATAAGATTATTAAATGTGAGAAAATGTTGGTGAATCCTCGGGTAATGTGCAAGCTTTAGATATGTGTGAGGGTTCTTGCTTAATGTTCATGTATAGTAGTGTACGATTTAACTAAGTGTAATAGTCAGACTTAGGCATATGTGCACACCAGGGAGGTGTGTGTGTGTGTGCGTGCAAATGGGTCTGCAGTAGGTGGGTACATGTATGTACGAAGTCGCTGATCTAGGTAGTGAGGGTGCCAGCTCTATGCCTGTATGTTTGGACTGTGGCGAAAGCTCCGTGAGGCAGTATTTAAGGTGGTTGCATTGTCAGCAAAGGGGGATAATATGCCTAGGTTTGTGTTTCCACAGCTGAAATATTAAATATAGAAACAAACAATAATCAAAAAAAACTATTAGAGTGTGGCCATGGTCGGGGGTCTCTGCCTCTCTTGGATAGCGTTTGCTCTCCGTTCCCTTCCAATCAGCTGGTATGTCCATGCTAATGGTGAGTTTATCTCGTGCCCCGGTCACCTACAGACACATGGAGGGGGCAGGAGAAGACAGTGCCAGTCCTTCTAGGGGGTGGTGAGGTGTACCTCGAGTCCCGGCAGGATGAGTGTAGCTGCTATGTCCCAGTCCTAAGGTGTGAACAGTTGAAGATGGGTTCCTTTGCCTTTAAGTGGTGGCTCGGCCAGCGTAGGGCTCCGCAGTAGTCGGTCGGAGCTCAAACACTACCGCCGTTTGTGGGTTTCAATGGTGCTGGCGTTTGGGTACCTTGGGTAGGTTGTCTCTAGTCTGGGCTGTCCCAGTGAGGCCCATAGTGAGCAGAATAACCACTGCCTCCTCAGTATCCCTGGCTGTGTGGGTCACGGCTCCATGGAAGATGATTAGGGAGCGTGAGAGGTGCCAGCGGTAGCGGATTTTGTGCTGCTGTAGTACCGATGTAAGTGGTCGAAATTCCCTGCGCCAAGTACTCCCCGAGAGGTTGGCGTAAAAGTTGACCTCCGTTTCTTCAAAGTGGTACGGTAGCTTATCTCTGGATGCCGCCAACAGCGCCATTTTGTCTTTCCCGCTGCGGAATTGGACCACCAGGTCTCTTGGGGCCATGGATGGTGCTTTTAACGATTTTGGCATTCTGAATACCCCCTCTATTTCCACGGATTTGGCCAGCAGGCAGGCGTCTGACCATATGTGGTAGCTCCGCGTCGGGGACTGTGTCTGCAATCCCTCTGATTTTGATGTTATTACGCCTCCGCGTGTCTTCTTGGGCTGCAAAGCGGAGTTCGTTCATTATGTTTTGTTTTTGTAGGTCTCGGACAGCGGTCTGCAGGGATTGTATCTGTTGCTCACTTTCGGTGGAGGTCTTTTCTAGGTCTCCCAGGCGGCTTGTAAGTGCTTGCGGATGGCGGCCAGGTCGGCTAGGAGCTCCTTCGTAACCCCTCTTGTGACTGGAGCGGTGTGTGGAGTCTGCGGTGCACCTGCCAGTATAGGTAAGTACCCCTCGCCCAGGTCTGTGGACTGATCGTCGGAGAAATCCGAACCATCCCCCATGAGGGCCGCCATCTTAGACTCCTGCTCGCTGTTTGCCTGTCACCACATGTCGCCGATGGACATCCCCGGTCGGGGTTTATCAGGCTTTATCTTTTTAGTTTTCTTCCCCATGATCGTGAATGCCGTTTGGGGGTCTCCTGTAGCTCAAAAGTACCCGTGGGAAGGGCTGTAGTATGCTGTTTTGGGCCCTTTTTCCCGGGAGCTCAGGGCTCTTGCGACCGCTTGTCTTGGCTGTTAGGCTCCGCCTTGGTTTGGGGTATTTTTATATATGTTTACCTCTCTGTTCCTGGGAAATAATTAGCTTACTGGTATTCAATACAATTATCTCCCAGGCCCAGATATTCCTGCAAGGGACTTGTGCTGAATACAATGGAGACGCCCTGCCGGGATCTGTGCATAAAAGGCTGAGTTTGGCTCATTAAAATCAGTTGTACTCCCAGAACTATGTGTCGTCTAGTTACCTGGATGGGAAAGGGCTAATCACTGCTCAGCACCTTGTTCCAGCACGTGGAGGATTCGGCGGGGAAAATCCAAGGAGGGAATAGAGCTCGTCCCCTATCCTGATCCAGGAAGGCCCCAGTCAATCCACGGCGACTGGGGCAGACGCGCTGAGGTTTTCCCCAGTTCAAGCTAGGAAGCGGTCCTCGGCTGAGGTACCTAGCCGGGGTACAGGCAGTTACACTACACTTATTATCAGCTGGGCTGTTTCCTGTTATTTTTGTTGTTCACTCCTGTTCACGTGCCTATATAGCATAAAAGGCCCTGCTTCTGAAAGGTATTTCCTGAACAGTGCCTTTTAAATCCAAGCATTACAGCTACACTACTCCCCCAGCAGCCTGAAAACCTGGTTTATCCAGTGCCCTAAAAACCCACCTGATGCGGTTCATCCACTGATTTCAGTTGTAATGACTTAATTGCTAAAACTTTAAATCTGAAACATTTATTTTGTTATGTGTATATTTGTTGGCAAATTGTTTCAACAAATGGGATTTGATTTCCCAGGACCCGTCTCTGACCTCGAGGAGTTTATTCAGAATTATTGCCTATTATGTCAGATATTGAATAATCGACTAAATATTTTTCTGACCTCTGTCTTACAGCAACTGTTTTATTCTCACATTCACTTAGACCCACGGACCCTCTAACATATGGTTGTTTGTATCACAGTTGTGGTGAGTTGTAAGGCTCCTCTCTCTGACATTACACATTCCATGGTGAATATTATCTGTTTATGTTAAGAAAGTAAATCTCCCTAGTTCTGTACTGGTATATGTGATACAGTTACTGTGAGTCTGCTGTCCTTAATCTGAATCAATGTAACCATGCTTGTATGGAGATGTTGAGTGATCAGTACATGATTACTAAGTCACGTAACCCTTAAAACTGCCTGATCCACAATATTCAATTTAGCTATTAAGATAAGTTAGTAACATAGTCAAGGCTATAATGGCAAGTATTATTCCATAAATTTTTATCTGCAATTAATTTTTATACCCTGCCCCGTCACTGATAATAAGACACTAATAAAATGGTTAATGGGATTATAATTGCTTCCTGACAGCTAATTAAGCAGCATGCAATATAGGTGCAAAGGTTAGACTAAGAAATCATTTTCTTTCTCACCTGAATCAATATTTCAAACAACAAAGATACATCTGTTTATTTTATTTATTTGGTGGGGGAAAAAAACAATAATATGAGTTATAATTTTTTTTGAAATTGTTCATTTGCCACATCTGCTGGGTGAATCTCAACCTTCTTCTTTAACAAGGCCCCAAATTCAATATGATGCTCTTGGTTTAATCTTGATGGAAGAGCTGAAATAGCACAGGGATTTAGATTTGGTTGCCACACAAGGAGAGAGATGAGGGGTTAAAATAGCAGCTGATGCCGTGGCATGCTCCTATGGACCAGAGGAGGTGGGTGGTCCTGAATAAGGTTTGATGTGCTCAGATCTCCAGTTCTACATCTGTGTAGATAGGCAACATAGGGCTTTACTCAGGACAGACTGTCCAGCCATCTTGTCTTCTAGAAGTCTCCTGAATAGGATTACACAAGGGCGGAGCTTGACCGCCATGCGGAGAAGTCTCATCCACCCGGAGCTCTGATTGAGTGGCCGACTTTAAGCCTTATTTGCTGCAATCCAGCCGAGCTAAAAGAGTACCTCACTTACCCACCCCAGGAGCACCCAGTGGGAATGGGACCGGGGCATCATGGACTCTCCGGACACACTCGCCAAGGCAGGTCCGACTTAGGGCCTAGCAGTTGATTCAGGGCGTGAGACGCAGCCAGTCTATTAACCCCGAAGTCCTGTAGGGCACCGCAGATCCTCCCCCCTCCACGCTCCCCCAATTTGGACCGGTGGGGGTCATCCTGGTCCACCACGGTATCTCTCCAAGTCTGTTGCTACACACACAAGCACTGCTGGATGGGTAAAGGCAAGAGGAAGCAGTGAAACTCCACTTACCTAAGATGGCACCTGCCAACACCACCATGACTCCTACAAGCAACGCTGATCCCTCACAATACGGTGGCAGGCTGCTAACATGCCTGGATCGGCTCTGTGCAGCATCTGAGCGGCGGGAGCCAGAGGGGTCAGTGGCAATAACACCTCAGCGGCAAACTCCCTAAAGGCGACAGCAGAATAGAGAGCACACCATAACCTGCGGCGATAGGCATCACTCACTCATTTGAGTTCAAAGAGCTGGCAAACAGGACGCTGTGGCTGCCACACGACTAGGCGACACCCTGCTCAACCTCAAACTGGGACTGAAAGATCCAGCTTAAAGAAATGGCGTGGGGTGGCGGGGCCTGGCCGCAGAACCGAGCAGACACAGATTGCAGTTGCTCCTGCAAGCTGTTGTCTAAATTGGCGAACTTACCCTAACCAGAGCCGATACGGGGCACAAACTGGCTGCCAGGCGACAGGGGACCTTGTAACCTATCGGACGATACCAAACATGGGGATGTCCCGAGCTGTGCTGCCCAACAGCAGCCTGAGGCCTAGAAGCATGGGTGACGCGCGGGAAACAGCCGCTTCCCCGCCGCCGCGATTAGCGAACGACCCGGTACAGAATCCCCATTCCCCCCCCCATGGACTGGTGGGGGTTATCCCGGTCCCCACCAACCTGACTAACGTGCTGCAACTGACACCTGGGGCCTGCCGCAGCCCGCACGAGGCCTAACAAAATGGTGGCTGCAGACCACAATATCGGGCCAGCACTTCTACAGCCCCTACACGAAACGCCTGGACGACCTGCTCCGCCGTTTCTGGGAGAAGCTGGAGCAGCGTGCGGCCCAACAGCCCTCCAGTCCTGACAAGAGGAGGGAGCCGGCTGATACTGAGAGGCAGACCGGGCCCTTCACGGGCAAACCTCCTGTTCATCACAAAGCTAAACGCCCGTCCAGGCCGAAGGTCACAAGGAGGCCTTCTCCACGACATCGGCCACGACGCAAGAAGGTCACCCGCCGGCGGCGGCGGATAACCACTCGGATGTCCCAAAGCCCCCACGAGGGGATGACACGGCTTCGCAGAGGACACGAGTCTGTGGCCAAAGGATGTCAACCTCACCGGAGGCCTGGAGCTGGAGAGGAGACCCCAGCTACACACAGTCTACCTCCACCCTCCAAACATCACGGATGCCCATGCTAACCATGCCCAGTAGAGGAATCGGCTGATCCAGGGACCTAAAGAACTTGGTCGGCAGGGAAAGTGTATGGACTAACCCACTAAAGCGGACTGGTACCATACCACTACCCCATAGCCTCGATGTGTGCGCCCTCCTTTTTTCTCTACACACACTGCCCACATTCTGCCACACCTAGGATCTTACAACAAGATAATAACCTTAACACCCACTTCAATCAGGCTGTCCCCGGCAGCACAAGCCCATCTCACACAGCGAGCGAGTCCCAACGCCACACGGGTAGCACAACAGTGGGTCCCAGAGGCCCAAAAATCGACACCACCAGCGGCAGGACCACATATTCACTATAGTGGGGTCACATCTCTCCCCATGTATCATCGCTCTCTCCTTCCATTGAACATTCCATCTATACACGCAGCCATACCAACTCAGAAGCCAGGAGGAGACCTCACGCGAGCCACACAGGTGGTCCCCAGCAGGTAACCCTTAGGGGTTTACCTTAGCACTCAATCATAATTGTCTAACTCGCTCTACACATAATGCACTCTGCCTGTCTCCCCTCATACTTGATTTAGGATAAGAGAAGTTTGAGTAATCTTTCACTACAGCACCCTACAGTTAAGTTTAGCCTGTGTGAATGTGTAATCATTATAAAACTGTGGCAGCCTCTCGTTACTTTAATTTGAGCATTTAATCTGTTTTGCTGCAAGCTTAAAATGCCATGTTAACATGCACTGAAATAGAACCTGAGTTGTTAAACACACAGCTTGATTAATCTCTTATACTGTGCACATGAAAACTATCATTTGAGTGATCTTTAATTATTCCTTGCACCCATTTCTTAAACAAATGCTTGTGTTATTATGTTTACTTGATGTAAAAAAGAAAATGGCAGTCTTTTTTTTTATTTATTATTCTTTATTTATTCCAAGGCAGTACATTACATTGAAAACATAATGCATCATAACATTGCAATATATTGTTACATTGTGCATGACAGTATTCTATCGTATTTTCAATAACAGGAGGCCAACACTCCTTTCAAACCGTTACTTAACCATTGTAACATGGAGTGCGTCTATGATACAGTACATCGCTGTTTCCCTGTCCGCCCCGGTAAATTTATTTATTTTTTTTAAATTCTTTATTTAACATTTGGCAATGACATAACAAGCAAACTGCCGCACATATATTCCCCATTTTCCTGCTGATTACATTGCTAATGAAAAAAGAAAAAAAAAACCAGAAAAGGCCCGGGCCCCGACCACAGTCCCCAGCTCCCGCTCCTCGAGCCCAGTCCCATGGTCGTGCACTTTTCTCAGAGTTTTGGCTTGTATGTGTGTCCCATCAGCTCTTTAGCAGTCCCTTCCCATGTCAACGCCACATTACTCAGAAGTCCAACTTAACAGTAATAAACCAAAAAGAATGAAATTGACTCCATCCTCCTCCTAAATCCATCACCTAATCACCCCAGGCCTCTGAACCCCCATTCCATCCCTACCCCCATCGACCCCCCCCTGAGGAGGAACGCTATTCCTTGGGCCAAGTTCCGTCCTCTGTCCTGTCGACCTCCCTATAACAGCCCGGCAGATGAAGATAAGAACTCCACTATTCACCTACCAACCGGTCGTCTTGCTTTTTGGAGAAAATGACTGTGTAGTTTGCTATGTCCCTCCCCAAGTCCCCGATTGGGGCACACCAGAACCTTTTGCCTACACTATCTATAGTGGGCCTATGGTGACTAACCTAATCTTCCGATGGAAACCAGAATCGCGAGAGAGGAGTAGGATCGCAAAGAAACAGAGAAGAAAAAGAGAAGGAAGAAAAGAGGGGAGGCGGGGGGGGGAGGAGAGGAGGCAAAAAGGGGGGGCACACGCTAGGCCCTCCCCCCCCCCCCGTACCCCCAAGGGGGAGCTCTCCCATGGCTCCCAGACCCTCTGAAAGACCGGTAGGGTGTCTCGTATTCGAGCTGTCAAGTCGTCCATAAGATGCACTTCCCAAATTCTATACAGCACTCCACCAATCGTTGGGGCCGTCTGTTTCAACCAATTTGCCGCAATGGCTCTCCTTGCTGCCAGGGTAATTTTATGCAGGAGTTTCTGTTCCCTACGAGTCCACCCTTCTATCGTCCTGCTCAGTAGGTAGACCCACGGGTCTAATTCCGGGGCCCTGGAAAAAACCTGAGTGATCACCTCCCTAACTTGCTTCCAAAATTTACCTATCTCTGGGCATTCCCACCACATATGCTTATAGGTACCCCTGGCCCCGCACCCCCTCCAGCACAGGTCCGTGGGGGTCTTCCTCATGTGGTACAGTTGAACAGGGGTGGTATACCACCGAAGCATCGTTTTTACCGACTGTTCCTGCATGGTAACAGAAACCGAAGAGGAATGATTGGCCTCCCATATTTCCTGCCACTCCACCCCCTCCAGTTGTTCCCCTAGATCCCTTTCCCATTGCATTATGTATGTGAGGTGTCCCCACTCTTTAGTCTCGGTACAAAGATGCTTATAAAGGAGCGTGATCAAGCCCTTAGGCATACGTTCCTGGAGGCATATGCCCTCAAAGAATGTAATTTTCTGTTGCGCTGCTGCTTGAATGTGTGGGTGTTTTGCTTAATCTTTGATCTGTAGATAGCTGAAAAAATCCGCTGGGGTAAGATGGCCTAATTGTCTCAGGGACTCAAATGAAATAAACTCCCCACCCTGAAAGAGGTGGCAAATGCGCTGGAGCCCTACTCTCTCTAAGTTACGATAGTTCCTGGCCGCCATGCCCGGGAGAAATTCTTTGTTTTGCAAAAATGGCATGAGAGGGGAAGGAGTCGAGGCCAAGCCGTACACAGAAGCCGCACTATCCCACAGCCGCATGGAGTTAAGAATAGCCGGGCACGTGACTCCAATTTGGGGTCTGTGTGCCTTAGGCACCCACATGAGGAACTGTGGAAGGTCCGCCCCCACCATAAGAGACTCCAAGTCCACCCATTTTCTCTCTCCTGGGGGTGAGTGCCACATAGCGACCTGAGCTAATTGGCTCGCCAGATAGTAGGCATGTAAGCTGGGAAGGCCCAAACCCCCCCCTGTCTTTTGTCCTATATAGAATGTATCTCGATATCCTGTGCCGTTTTGAATTCCATATAAAGGTCCCAATTGCTCTTTGCAGTGGGAGTAATTGCGTCTTAGACACACGGAGGGGCAGGGTCTGAAAAAGAAATAGGAGCCTGGGCAAAAGGTTAATTTTGACCGCATGGATTCGTCCCATCCATGAGATCGGTCTATCTGACCAGGTCTCTAGCTCCTTTATGAGCTTCTTAAATAGTGGTGTGTAGTTTTGACTGTATAGCTGCTCTGAATTCGCCGTCAGGCGTATCCCCAGATACTTAAACGATTGGTGCACTACATTTATGCCATAGGTATTGCGTATGGCGTCTACCTCACCCCCACTGATGTTAATCGGCAAAGCACTTGATTTCACCATATTTGCACGATAGCCCGTTATCTGTCC